AAAAAATAACAAAATAAAAAGAGTGCAGAAAAAACCATTTATCCAAATCTCTTTTATGACATCGGTTCCTGGTAGTAGGGACGTAGCCACACTAAAGAGTAGGGATCTTTACACTCCACTTATTGACTATTAGTGCCCCTTTAAAACATAAAATTGAAAAAAAATAACAAAAATAAAACAGTTCACAAAAAACCATTTACCCAGCTCTGTTCATGACCACCAGTTTCCCTAGTAGTAGGGATGTAACCACACTATAACATATGGAGTTCATTGAACCCACTTAAACTTTGAAAAAAATCAAAAAAGTTTTTATATTATAATATTACAATTTTGACTCATTCAAATTCATATTAAACCCATAAAATTTTGTGTAAATTTATCAATTTAATTGCGTTAAACCCACTCACTAAAAATCCTAACTACGTCCCTGCCTAGAAGCCAGGAAATTCATGGCCACAGAAACTGTGTTTCTAAACATTTGAATAAGCAGTGAAGCTTATACTAACGGAAAACATTGCCAATGCCACCCAAATCTATCTATTTGTAGATGAATTCATGTAATTAGTTGGTAAATACAGTATACTTGTTATTGTATATGATAAGTTTTTAAAAATTCTGATATAATGCAAATTCAAGTAGATATATTTTAAGTTTGATATATTAATCTAAGAGATTCTTGGTTCTGAAATTGAAGATTAATGAAAGCAAAATAGATTCGAACCTATAGTTTTTTTTTTTTTTTTGAAATTTTGTTAATAATGAGTTGATGAAATATTAATAGTCTATAAGAAACTATTATATATTTACGAAAAAAAAAAAAAAAAAAAAAAAAAAGATTTTCATCTTTAATGGGGTCTTCACCCTCAAGGTAGTGTTTCTTGCCAAGGATTTCAAAAGTATTATAATTACAGTAGTTTACAATTAGGGATGGTAAACGGGACAGGTTAGGGCGTGGATCGTCATCCCTAAAATAAAATAGCATCTCCATCCACGTCCCCATCCTCGAATTGGACAATTCGGGGATGAGACGGGATTCCCGATTGGGGATTGATATCACATGGAATCAACCCCAATTTAAAAATAATATTTTTGTATTTTTAATTTTTAATGACTTATTACAAAATGTAAAATTTTAATTTTTTTTTCTATCCAAGTCATATATGAGAAATAAAAATGATTTACATCAATCGTCACTAATATTATATCATATACTAACATACACATTCAAAAGTTTTATATTTTAATGTACCAAAAAAAAAAAATATAATACATTTAGATTAATGAAAAATTAAATACCATTCATAATCACATGCACACACATTTTTATATAAAATTTGCATGCACACATTCTGCATAGAAGTTGACTATATACTTCTATTAAAATTAAAGTTTCACTAAACTCAAGTTTCAAAAAGGTCAATGGTTAATAAAATTAGTTAGTCCCACTAATATGATTATAGACAAGCTATATATATATATATATACACATTTGATAAAAACTCATCTAACAACTCAAACAATTAGTTGGCTAGTGAGCCTTTTGTGGGCTTAGGTATAACTCTCCTTGGAAAACCGATTTGCCAAAGGAGGTCCTCGAAAATTTAGCTTAAATTCCCCCTCGAACAAGGTGGGGACAAGCGGGGACCAAACCATGGAAAAAATTACAAAAATGGGTAAAATATAGATACAAAAACATATTATTTTTGTTCCCTATCTAGCCCCCAAAAGCCAACATGTGGTTCCGCCACTGTTTACACCATTTAAGGCTTTAACACATCCTTACATGCATATATTTTTATAAGTAGTTTTCAAGCTCAATTAATAAATTATTTAAAGTAAATTTTATTTTAAAGTAGTTGACAGATAAAACCTATTGCGCTTGAATATCATGAAACAACCAACAAATGAGAATGTGACGTATACAAAATAATTTATATAAACATGTATGACAATCTTGCATACACTGGTGGATACGCCCAGGAGGGGCCTATGCCCTTCCTCAACTTTTAAAATTTTTCTTTATGTTTTTCATGTATTTAAATTTTTTTAGAGGTCTCTCACAACAATACAAATACATGTACCAAAATATATTCATTTATTTATGTTCTTTACCTTTCTAATTTGTGTTGCATTTTAAAAAAGTAATTAAAGTCATATGAAATTATGATTGAGATTTAAGCTATATTATGTGACAAAAGAAAAATTCATGAAAAAATAAACTTTATAATTATCTTATAAACTTGGTTTTATATGAATATAACAATTTCTCATTTTTTTTTTTAATCAAATAAAGTATACGTTAAATATAAGTGTTAAAATATTATGATTAGAATATGTCTTATATAAATATAATCATTCTTAATCATAGATGTATATTTAAATTTTTAACCTAGTCTAATTTCCCATATCGTTTTTAAAATGATCACTATGTTTTAACGAAAATACATAGATATGAATTGGCAATTTTTATTTTATTTTTTAAATTTTTTTCGCCCCTCCTGAACATAATTTTTACCTCCGCCACTACTTGCATACTTTGTTACACCATCCACTTTAATTTGCTTTATTCATATTTAATTTTAAGTTGTCTATGCTAAGTTTTATTTGTATTTAATTTAAAGTTATCTGTGTTAAGTTTTATTGATATTTAATACATTAATTGGCTTTATCTATATTTAATTTTAAGGTAGGTGAGGGCTCGACAGTTATTAGTCCAATAAGTCCCCTCACATCAAATATATATATATATATATAGTTTTAATTTTCTTTATCTAATATATATATATATATATAGTTTTAATTTTCTTTATCTAGTTTGTATGGGGATAAAAAATTTGAAATCTTTGATTTTGATATTATGTTAAGTTGTCATCTCGCCTGAAAGCTTAAACTAGGAGGNTTGCAAATAGTGGTTACTATTGGTAATATTGGGAGTAATCAGATTACCTTCCCAGGGGGTATTAATGTTAGATTACCAGGGTAATCATAATTTTTATCCTATTTTGCCCTTAATATTTTATCATTCTGGACACATTTGCCCCCATATGTCTACCAAATAACAATTAGCCCAGACCCCCTACATTTGAGAACTTAGCTAAAACACCCCCGCCACAAAAAAGTTTAAAAGTTAACAAAATACCCCCAATCATCCAAGACCATCGCCGGCCGCTAGCCACCACCGCTGGCCATCGGCGAAAGTCATCATATTGGCACAAGATGACAGGATCTTGCTAGTCGTGTGCCGATAAGGACATTTCCAACCATGGATTTGTTATCCATGGCCAGAAATGACCAGATTTGGCCGTTTTACAGCCAAAGATGTGGCCGTGAAATGTCATAGATCTGGCCGTTTCACGGCCACATCATTGGCCATGAAATAGCCATATTAACGGCCAGATCTAGCCGTGAAACGACCATATTCACGGCCAGATCTGGTCGAATTAGGCCTAATCGGCGTACGACCAGCCAGATCTGACTGGTCGTGCGCCATTACAGCGGCTTCCGGTGGTGGTGGCTGACGACGGTGGTTTGGGGTGAGTGGGGGTGACTTTGCTACAAATTAAAGTTGTATATGGTTGGGGTGTTTTGGTAAAATTTCAAATATAGGGGGGTTAAAAGAAATAATTTAAAAAATAATAGAATAAAATAATAATAAAAATAATATTATATTATTATTTTAAAATGAGGGCAATTTTGTAATCTACATAACATACCCACTCATTTATCCTCCCAACCAAACATATTATTAGAACATATCCATCAATTTATTCCAATCGACTAAACACATTTTTCTAAAGATTCCCTAATAATCTATCTTTCCACTAATACAACATTCCTCAATAATATAACATTCTCTGAACCAAACGCTACCTTCATTCACTCACTGATACCTTGAGGTAAGCATATATATCATCTCTACTGTCCTAAAATTGATGAAAAAGTAATCTGTTTACTATTCTTAATTACGACTATTAGTCAATTCAGCATGTCGAATATCTCTAAGGGGGTGTTTGGTTAGGAGATATTTGAGATTACTGAGGTTAAGTCATCTTATATTACTTGATTATCATGTTTGGTTGTCAAATAATATAAAATACTGGTAATCTTCAAATACCAATAGTGGTTACTATTGGAAATATTTGAGGTAATTTGATTACCTCTATTTTCTTAGGTATTCTAAGATTACCAGGATTATCTTTTTTTGTTACAATTCTATCCCTTATTAAAAAAATTTTAGGACAATAATGCCTTTATTTTTAAATTTATTTACATGAATATAGCTTTTACTATTTCAACCCCAATTAATTATTTTTTTGGACAAAATTACCCTTGAATTCAAAACAAATTATAGCTCACCCAAGCCACCACCCCCAGCCACCTGCCTGTGGCCAGTCGCCGCCGCCGCTGCGGGGGCGCACGGAAGGCCAGAAATGGCCAGATCTGGTCGTTGACTGCTAGATCGATTGGTAATCAATCTGGCCATTAACGGCCATCGATCCGTCAACGGCCAGATATCTGGCCAGAAATGGACATATTGGCGTATGGCGACCATTTTCGGCCTTCCGTGCGCCGTTAGGTTCCCGAATGCCGACGGCCTACGATGGTTGCCAGTGGCTGACAGTGGTTGGGTTGGTGGGGGGTGTTTTGTTGATTTTCAAAACTTTTATTATGGGGTTGTTTTTGCTAAGTTTTTAAATGTAGGGGGCGTTATAGTAATCCAAATAATAATAATATTTAATTAGAGGACAATTCAGTAATTTAAATAACATACCCACCAATTTATTCCTCTCAACCAAATATATTAATATGACATACCCACCAATTAACCAAACACATTTTCCTAAAGATTCTCAGTAATCTTCAAGGTAATCTTTCTTTCCAGTAATCTAACATTCTCTGAACCAAACACCCCCTTAGCGTTATACAAAAAGTTTCAAGATAGAATCTGTTGTCACAGAGTCTTTCTCACAAGTTAATCATATTGATGTCTAATAATGCAGATCGGAACTCCATCCTTTTGGGATTCATGTCACCCTCGTCGCCCCGGGAGCTATTAAGTCTAACATAGCAAATGTCGCGGCCGGCAACTATAGTCGGATGCCTGAATTGAAACTATACAAGCCATTTGAAAATCTTATCAAGGAGAGAGCATATTTTAAAGAACCACCAAATGCAACGCCCACAGAAATATTTGCAAGGAAGACTGTGGCTGTTTTGTTCAAGGACAAGCCCCCAGCTTGGTTTTCTTTCGGTAAGTACTCTACTCTCGTGGAAATATATTCCTGTATGCCAAATTTTGTTAAAGACTTTCTTGCAAGGAGAATGATGAAATGATAAATGACATATCGAGTNTCTCAGGGAGGAATCGGCCATGCATTGGCTCATGAGTTTGCTTCTAAAGGCTGCATTGTTGTGGCCTCAAGTAGGTCCAAAAGAACCATGGCTGATCTTGAAAATGATTCCAGGTTCTTCGTGCAAGAACTTGATGTTGTTTCAGATGAAAGTGTGGAGAATGTTGTGGCAAATGTTATTGAAAATTTTGGAAGAATTGATATTTGGTGAACAACGCTGGAGTCCTTTGCATTGGCCCTCTTGCCGAGCTTCCATTATCAGCTATCCAGAATGCAGTCGACGTCAATAATTTTGGTGCTTATAATATATGATTTCTCTGAATTTTGTGTTCATTATTAATTTTTTTGTTATTACTGTTATGATCACTTTCCATAGAACTCATCTTTAAAATTGGTTTTTATTTATTTAATGTGTTTCTAGAGTTCATAAGTTGAAAACGATCACTATAATTATTTTTATTACAACGAGGATTCATCATATGATAGAGAATCAAACCCACAGGAAAATGTGTCTAGGTTTATAATTGACACCATGATCAGGATTCAGGTCATCCCCTAAACCATTGATATGGTTTATAATGGATATATATTCTCTATGGTTAATTTATGGTAAAAATGAGGAACCCATATTTGCATTAATACGTTTGTGTTAGTAGTGGCTTCAACCAAATTTTAATTATTTTTGTTACTGTTGCTTTGTTTAGCATTTGGTTTTCCCCATCTGATATTAATTTGAAGTTCACTGATGAAATATATAGGTGCCATGAGAATGATTCAAGCTGTTGTTCCCCACATGGCAGCTAGGAAAAAGGGGAAGGAAACACAGTCGGAGCCTGAATTGAAACTATACAAGCATTTGAAAATATTATCAAGGAGAGAGCATATTTTAAAGAACCACCAAATGCAACCCCTACAGAAATATTGAAGGAAGACTCTGGCTGTTTGTTCAAGGACAAGCCCCCAACTTGGTTTTCTTCCGGTAAGTACTCTACTCTCGTGGAAATATATTCCTGTATGCCAAATTTTGTTAAAGACTTTCTGCAAGGAGAATGATGAAAGATAAATGACATTATCGAGTTCATCTTTTTTTACGTGAAATTTGTACAAGTTAAACTATATGTCTTTTTTTTCTTCCTGAAATATGAATTCGCATATGAAACCTGTGTTTTACATATGTGAAATATCAATAAATCAATCTTTATAACGGGTGTCATTAATCTTTTGGTATGTCAAAGCTGCAGAATTCAAAGTTAACCATAGTTTTCATTACCCATAATAATACACTGAAAAAGTTGCAGAAATAGGAAATTAAACAATGCACAGACAACAAAATTACATAGCATTAACCATTCAGAGCAGCCTTTAGCCAATGAGAAACTAGAGAAGATTTGAGATAAGCCGCAGTGTCTTCAAGAAAGTAACTAAAGGGTCCAATTTCAGTTCCATCAAGTAGCTTAAAGTTCACTGTATGGAGTCCAATTTATCCGCAACAACTGAACATCTCCAATCTCCAATTTCAGTCTAGAAGGTGACTTTTTTTATGTTTTTTTTTCTCCGGAAAAAATGAATTCTGAGAAAATTAATCAAGTTTTGAGGTGGGTAGAATCAATGCAATTTGGTTAGTTCGATCTTATTCAAGGTCAGCTAAAAAATGAACTGAAAATTCAAAGGAAAAAAAATGAATTTAAATAATGTTCTAGAACTTTTTAACTAAGATACGAATTTTTACCAAACTCTAATTAAAGTTAGTTAATATTTTTTTTTTTTTTTTTAATGATTAGGGGTGTTTGAACAAGTTTATGCACACTTCAACTAATCTTCAAGGACCCTGAAATTATCGACCGGATAGGAACTCCAGTGACTACCCCTATTAGCACTCAAGAAGAGACTCGAACTTAAGACCTCTTGCGTAATACACTCAAAAGTCTCTATCGAATCGCTCGACCACCCAAAGGTAGTTAAGTTAATTAATAATTTCTTGGGTGCTAAGAAAGAATCCAATTGATTTTCCACCAAACTCTATTATTGAATTAATATCAATCCAAGTTGGTCCCTATGAAGCAATAAAAATGGAATGAAGGGCATTTATGGAATTTGTTGGGTGCCGTGAGAAAAAAAAAATGAAATTTAAATAATGTTCTAGAACTTTTTAACTAAGATATGAATTTCCTACCAAACTCTAATTAAAGTTAGTTAATATATTTTTTTTAATGACGGGGGGAGTCCGAGTTAGTTTATGCATACCTAAACTAATCTCCTGGGATCCTGAAATTACGGACCGAATAAGAGCTCCAGTGACTACCCCTATTAACATCCAGTAAGAGATTCGAACTCAAGACCTCTTGCGTAATACATTCAAGAGTCTCTATTGAACCGTTTGACCACCCAAAGGTAGTTAAGTTAATTAATAATTTCTTGGGTGCTAAGAAAGAATTCAATTGTTTTTCCACCAAACTCTATTATTGAATTAATATCAATTCAAGTAGGTCCCTATGAAGAAAAAAATGGAATGAAGGGCATTTATGGAATTTACTGTCTGCCATGAGAAAAAAAAAATTAATTTTAAAGGTATTTTAAGAATTGAGACTTCTTTAGTCCATTAGCAGGGTCAATAGTTCGGCTCATAAATAAAGGGAAATGATTTTTTGCCTTCGCCATTTGTTTTCTTTAACCCTCATCTTCTACTTTAACTAAGGGTATAGTTGTCAAAGAAAGAAAAAATATCTTTCGACTATACTTTTATTTCAAAGCTTTATGGATGCAATTACCAAAAAAATTAAAGAAATTGAGGTAAATCAAAATGCATAATTTCAAAAGTAGATTAAAGCCCATGGTTCTTCTTTTGGAGAGTTCTTTATTAGTTTCTTTCTTCATTTTCTTCTTCTTATTAATCTTCTTTTTTTGTTTTCTTTTCAAGTTTTGTATTTTGGAAAACTTTTATAAATTACATTTTAAATGAAAAAACGATTATGTAACTAGGAAATTACTAAAACTTAAATCAAACAAAATGTTTATATTAGTTTTTTTAAGTGCTTTTACAGTGGATAACTTCATAAAAATAGGAGACATTAAAAGATTAAAGATCTTGAGTAAAATAATGAATATGTTTATAAATTCTTCCTAAAACTTTTAAATGTTTAAAAACCATGGTTAATAATATATTTAAATACTATTATACGTACCCTATCTAAGATAGAAGACAGGAGCAAAAAAATAAAATAAAATCTGTGGCTAAACATTACTTGCCTAACTAAAGGGTAGTGATCTTTACACCCCACTTATTGACCATTAGTCCCCATTTAAAACATGAAATTGAAAAAAAAAAAAAAAACAAAAAAAAACAAAAGTAAAAGAGTTGCACAAAAAACTATTTACCCAGATCTCTTTTTCATGACCATCAGTTTCCCCTAGTAGTAGGGACGTAGCCACACGTAGCCACACTAAAGGGTAATGATCTTTGCACCCCATTTATTGACTATTAGTCCCCGTTTAAAACATAAAATTGAAAAAAAAAATAAAAAAAGAGTTGCACAAAAAACCATTTACCCATATCTCTTTTTCACGACCATCAGTTTCCCTTAGTAGTAGGATATAGTCACACTAAAGGGTAGTGATCTTTACACCCCACTTATTGACTATTAGTCCCCATTTAAAACATAAAATTGAAAAAAAATAACAAAAATAAAAGAGTTGCACAAAAAACTATTTACCCAGATCTCTTTTTCATGACCATCAATTTCCCTTAGTAGTAGGGACGTAGCCACACTAAAGAGTAGTGATCTTTACACCCAACTTATTGACTATTAGTCCCCGTTTAAAACATAAAATTGAAAAAAAACAAATAACAAAAATAAAAGAGTTGCACAAAAAACCATTTACCCAGATCACTTTTTCATGACCATCGGTTTCCCCTAGTAGTAGGGATGTAGCCACACTAAAGAGTAGTGATCTTTACACCTCACTTATTGACTATTAGTCCCCCTTTAAAACATAAAATTGAAATTAAAAAATAACAAAAATAAAAGAGTTGCACAAAAAACCATTTACCCAGGTCTCTTTTTCGTGACTATCAGTTTCCCCTAGTGGCAAGGACGTAGCCACACTATAACATATGGGTTCAATTGAACCCACTTAAACTTTGCAAAAAATCAACAAAGGTTTTATATTTTATAGTATTTACAATTTGATCTCACTTAGATTCATTGAACCCACTCAAACTTTGAAAAAAAATCAAAAAGAAGTTTTATATTTTATAATATTTACAATTTTGACACCATTTAAATTCATATTGACCCCATAAAATTTTATTTTGAACTTATCAATTTAATTATTTTAAACTCACTCACTAAAAATCCTATCTACGTCCTTGCCTATAAGCCTGGAAATTCATGGACACAGAAACTCTGTTTTACTCAAACATTTGAATAAGCAGTTGAGCTTTATACTAGCGGAAAACATTGCCAGTGCCACCCGAATTATCCTTTTGTAGATGACTCATGTAATTTGTTGGTGAATACATTATTGCTCATTATATATATATAACTTTTTTAAAAATTCTGATATAATGCAAATTCAAGTAGAAATATTTGAAGTTCAATATATTAATCCAAGAGATTCTTGGTTCTGAAATTGAAGATTAATGAAAGAAATTTTATGTTCAAATCTATAATTTTTTTTTTTTTTTTTTGAAATTTTGTTAGTTAATTGAGTTGATGAAATATTAATAAGTCTATAAGAAACTATTATATATTTATAGACACACAAAAAGAGAGAGAGAGAGAGAGAGAGAGAGAGATTTCATCTTAAATGGGGTCTTCACCCTCAAGGTAGTGTTTCTTGCCAAGGATTTCAAAAGTATTATAGTTACAATAGTTTACAATTAGGGATGGTAAACGGGACGGGTTGAGGCATGGATTGTCATCCTCCATCCTATCCCCAAAATAAAATAGCATCTCCATCCGTGTCCCCATCCTTGGATTGGACAATTCGGCGATGAGGTGGGATCCCCAAATGGGGATCGAGTATCTTCACATGGACTCAATCCCCAAATTTAAAAATAAATTATTTTTTATTTTTATAATTTTTAATGACCTTTTTGCAAAATGTTAAATTTTAGGTATATATATATAAGTATATTGTTCTATCCAAGTCATTTAAAAATAGATTTACATTCAATCGTTACTAAATATATTAACATACGTATTTTAAAGCTTTATCTTTTAATTGTAAAAAAAAAAAATTAATAATTACGTTAAAGATTAATGAAAAATTAAATACCCATTAATATACTTCTATTAAAATTGAAGTTTCACTAAACTCAAATTTCTAAACACAATCAAATTTAAAATGTTCAATTGTTAATAAAATTAGTTTGTCTCACCGATATGATTATAGACAGGTTGAACTTATATATATATATATATATAGATGGCAATCACCACCCCTCCCCAAAATCAATTCGGGAATGAGTTTTCATCCCCATCCCCACTCCCTCCGATCCTCAAAAATTTAGATTAAATTCCTCCCCGAATAGGGTGGGGACAAGCGGGGACCCATCCCCACAAAAAAAAAATTACAAAAATCGGTAAAATATAGATAAAAAACAAAAACAGTAATTAATCTTTTGGTATGTCAAAGCTGCAGAATTCACAGTTAACCATAGTTTTCATTACCCATAAATAATACACTGAAAAAGTATGCAGAAATAGGAAATTAAACAATGCACAGACAACAAAATTACATAGCATTAACCACTATTCAGAGCAGCCTTTAGCCAATGAGAAACTAGAGAAGATTTGAGATGAGCCACAGTGTCTTCAAGAAAGTAACTAAAGGGTCCAATTCAGTTCCATCAAGTAGCTTAAAGTTCAACTGTATGGAGTCCAATTTTATCCTGCAACAACTGAACATCTCCAATCTCCAATTTCAGTCTAGAAGGTGACTTTTTTTATTGTTTTTTTTTTTCCCGGAAAAATTGATTTTTCTTGAGAAAATTAATCAAGTTTTGAGGTGGTTAGAATCAATGCAATTTGGTTAGTTTTCGATCTTATTCAATGGTCAGCTAAAAAATTGACCTGAAAATTCAAAGGAAAAAAATGAAATTTAAATAA